TGCAGGTTTTCTTGAGGGTCTGGTTTGAGCCTGGCACTTGTGGGTTGTATTTGCACTGGAAATAAGATAAACGTGACACCTGCTCCATTTAATCTTTCTCTCCCTTTTTCCTTCCCCCCTCCCCCCCCCCCCTTGCCTTCTTTGAAGAACTTACCAAAAGAGGTTGAGAAGGAGCAAGAGATATTAGCTCATGTGCCTGATTAATGATTCTCCGGGGGGAAAGGAAATCATTTAACCACAATATAGAGCGCTTTTGATTGAAAAGAACTTTAAATTCCATGTTGGAGCCAGGAGCGACAATTGGAATAACAAAGTAAAGAGAGCACGTGGCTGCTGGGTTTATCACCACCAGCCACGGGGACTTTGTATCACTGTGAAAGCAATCGAATGAGTAAATACACAAACAGGCTCCCAAATACAAAAGCAAACAGGGAGAGAGATGATGGAGAGCTGCTGATGAAGGGAGGGTTCAAGGAGCGAAAGAAGGAGGAGATTGGCTTTAGTCTTGGCACGTGGCAAGCTTTGACATGAGGATGCTTTGGTCTGTGTTGTGCTTCTTTGAAGCATGCTGCTTCCCCATTAGCGCTGCAGGGTCCATCCCACACATCTCGGAGCTGCTGATCCCACCAACACCCCAGCTCCCAGGGATTCCCTCTTCACCTCCCTTGCCAAGGTGGCAGCTGCAGTTCCAGCTAGGAGCATCTTCCCTGGCAACACGGCTTGGCAGGCTGGGGAAGGAAATTGGCCCTCAGCAAAGAGCGCAGCCAGGACCGAGTCCTACCAGTGCTGCGCTGGGGACACCTCTGATGGATTTATGATGTTCCTCCCATCACTCCTGTAACAAGAGTATTAAAACCACTAATGCAAAACTGTGGATTATTTTTCCCCATCCTTGCACATGCTCTTTTAACACCCAAAGAAACAAACCAGCAATTTGCAGTTTCCTGTAAGTGATCCATCAGGAATGAGTGAAGAAAGTATTGCCACAATCGTATTAATTCTGCTGAGGATATCCTAATGAGCTATTGCCTTGCTCCGTGAATTCTCTGCTTGTTTCTCCCCACCCTCCTCTTCCTCCTGAACCGACTTGGAGTGTAGGTGAACATGGGAACATAAAAGCAGAAAGGGAATGGCGTGTGCAGAATAAGCTGTTTGCTTTCCTCTGATTGTTGCTATTAATAAAACATTGCATTAAATCAGTGCTGGAAGAATATAATTGGGACCATCCATCACATGTCTAGAGGAGAAGGGCTCCTGTTCATCAGCCGAATGGAGCGGCTGCTGTTACCTACCCCAGCAGTGAGCATGGGGAAGAGATGGTCTCATGTCCCCGTGTTTTGGACCAATCCTCTCCCCATGATCAGCACCATTTTTGTCCATTTTATGCCTTTCTTTTGTATTGACAAAGGCAGGAGCTGAGGGCAGAAGGAGGCATTAACTGGGGACCCCATGCCTGGACAGGAGATGGCCGGGATTTGGGATTTGCTATTGGGGTTTTGTGTTTGAGGGTGGTTTCTCTCCATGGCCGGCTCCTCCTCACTCCGCACAGCAATACTCTCCCTTGCAATAGGGAGCAGAACAGCCATCATTTCATCCACTTTTCAGGGCAGCTGAAGCCATTACATGAAGGAGTTGATTCATTCAACACCAACAGGAGGTTTTTTCCCCAGCCCAGTAATTTGTGTTGGGCTAATGCACCTCTTCATAGAATCCCATTGTATAAAGCAGCAAATAATGTGGTTCCCAGAGGTCCTGCCGTGGGGCCAGTGCAGCACAGCTCTGAACTGAGCCTGGAGTCCCTGCTCTGCCTCCACGCTTCCCCCTGATACTGCAGGGACCCACGTACCTTGGGTCATGGGGCACTGCACTGCCCCCCAGGGCCCACGTGTCCCCGCAGCCACAGACCTCACTGCCCCCACAGACCCAGGCATCAGGGGTGTCCGCTCCACCCCACGTGTCCCACTGCCCCCAGAGGAGCCAGGCATCAGGGAACACCCACTCCACCATGGATCCACCCTGCTCATGCTCCCCACGCACTCCCCCCCATGGGATTCGGCTCTCCAGGGCCCCACTCCACCCCACACCACTCACTGTCCCCAGGGCACTCAGGTGTCTGGGCGCACCGTTGAGGTAGAAGTACTTGCGGGCCAAGGGCTCAGGAGGGACTCCCAGGTGACAGGCGATGGTTCCTAGAGCGGGGTCCCGGACGGTCAGCATGTAAAGTCCCTCCACAGCCACCTTCAGCTCCTCAAACAGTGCCAGATCCTGTGTGTGCAGCTGAGGCATGGGGGAACATGTCAGCACAGCCTGGTCCACCAGGTACATGAAATGGCATAAACGTGCATGAAAAGGCACTCATGTCCCGCTTGTCATGTCCCCTTCACGCTTCTGGTACTCTTTGTGCGTGCGTGTGCATGCAACTCTCGTTCCACATGTGCTTGCCATGCCTTGTGTGTCTTCACACACGGATGCACAGGCAGAGCACACGAGCACACGTACGCCAACGGTCACATCGATGAGAAGCTCCCCATGTCCTTGCCATATGCACTTGAGCCCAGAACCCCCCCGTGTGCTGGGCTGCACCCCCAGAGCTTGAGCAGCAGCTCAGGGAGGGGATTCTCCCGCTCTGCTGCACTCTGAGGAGCCCCCCCTGCAGTCCTGATCCAGCTCTGGGGCAGCAGCACGGGAGGGACATGGAGCTGTTGGAGCGAGGCCAGAGGAGGCCACGGAGATGCTGCGAGGGCTGGAGCAGCTCTGCTCTGGAGCCAGGCTGAGAGAGCTGGGCTGGGTCAGCCTGGACAAGAGAAGGCTCCTCAAGGGGAGACCTGAGAGCATCTCCGGTGCCTACAGGGGCTGCAGGAAAGCTGGAGAGGGGCTTGGGACAAGGGTCTGTAGGGACAGGCCAAGGGGAATGGCTTTAACCTGCCAGAGGGGAGACCGAGATGAGCTCTTAGGCAGAAGCTCTTCCCTGTGAGGGTGCTGAGGCGCAGGCACAGGGTGCCCAGAGAAGCTGTGGCTGCCCCATCCCTGGCAGTGTTCAAGGCCAGGTTGGACACAGGGGCTTGGAGCAAGCTGCTCTAGTGGAAGGTGTCCCTGCCCGTGGCAGGGGTTGGAACTGGATGAGCTTTAAGGTCCCTTCCAACCCAATCCATTCCGTGATTCTACGATGTTACACACATACTGCAGAGGGACTAAATCGAAGTGCCACCAAACAATGGTTCAAGGCTCAGGCCAACAGCCTGAACACAGGAGGAACGGTGCCAGCGCCGAGTGAATGTGGTACTGCAGGAACAGTTTTGTGGAGAGGATCAAACAGTCTCAGTCTACTTGTATCACGTTTTCCAGTGTAAACTACCCACAGCACTTCAGCAAGTGTTTCCTCCTACAGCCAAAGAGAGTTGGTTGTCTTCTCCCATTTAAATCTCATTTTTTAAACCCTCCAATATACACCCTAGATCATTTTAGAAGACTAACTTTAAAGTTCAAGCAGTTTCCATAAAACTAAAACTGCTACAAATGCATTAACAGCTTTTTCCCCTCCTAGGCTAGCACTGACAAGCAGTATCAGCCGCCTGTGTGTATCCATCACTTCAGTAACTGAATTAGCATAAAAGCTGTATTAAGCGATCATAACCGGTGGTGAAAGAAGTGGGTAGAGAAAGTAAAACACTGCCAAAGGGATGCAGAAAAACAGCTAGAAAAATCAGAAATTCATATTGTGACTGAAGAAACATCTTTCCAGAGAGCAACATCTCTCAAGTGTTGTCTGGGAAGAGAGAAAAGCTGGTAGAAGGGACACATCAAAAGCAGTAAGGACCTAATACCACAAAGTCTTAGATATAAATAATCCTTACAGTCTGCTGGCAGTACAAATGCACAATCCCATTTCATTCATGTATTATTTGTAATTGGTTGTACAATAGGGCCCCAGGAATCCTCTTGTAAGCACTGAAGAACAAGAAGTAAGAGCTTAAGACCTGAGATTTTAATGATTTAAAGCATCAGGATAGAAAACCAGGCTTCAGTGCTTTACCCCAGGATTCCAGAAAAGTAACCACTATTTCCCTTCAGAAACCCATCAGAATAACATTAGCAGAAAAATTAATGTGATAATGACTCTCTGAATGGGTGAAAGTTAAGAGTGTGGAACCATATCTATTTTATGCCAAGAAGCTCATCCTGCAGCCAGGAAAAGCGGCCATGGCTGGGCCTGGCGGCACCGCAAGTGCCCATCGGGTGCAAAAAGAAAATGAGAGAGGGGAAATAAAAGAAGAAAATAGGTCTTGTAAATAAACAGGGGATTTCTCCCTCTCTGAAGCACTCTGAGGAGACATCCCCCCACCCCCCCACCACAGTCCTGCATCCAGCTCTGGGGCAACAGCACAGAGAACTTAGAAAGCCTGTACCTGATTTCAGTAAGCTCACAGTTTGTCCTGAGATGCTGCTTAACAAGATCGGCCAGCACTTGCACGAAGGCAGCTTGATGAAGCTACTCACAGCATTTGTAGGAGAAAGTGTCCCACAATTACACCGAGCCTCCCAGGTCTACTAACACGGATTTGGCAGAAAATGGTCCACCACTGTCATCTCAGAAGGCAGAAAATCTCAGTATTCAAATGAAACAGTCTCTCTTGGCTGCTCATCTCAGCAGGTAACACGTCACCTTCTGCCAAATCAGTAAACAGAAGTACTTGCTTCCATCAGAGCTCAGTCTCAGTAAGACAGACATGGAAGCACTTAGCAAATAATGTCATGCTGGGACCACGAGTGCTTCATTAATTACTACAAAACTTGTTAAATGGTAGACTACGTTCTGAGCTGACAGCAGCAGCCGTGATCCCGTGGGCCCTCAGATCATGCTCAGCTCTCTCCAACAGACACCAACTACTACAAACCACTGACAGTGGAAAGGGTCATCCTTGCTGTTACACTCAAATCTACTATTATAAATCAGATTTCTATGTAGCAGGAGCTACTGAACTCCATACTGTAAAGCCCTTTATCTACTGCATCCTTTGAGAACCAGTGCTAAGAGTCACATGGCAATTTATGACTCTTCCTAAGCTTCCCTGGATTTCCAGTTTTCCTTCAGCAGCCTGCTTGCAGTGTAAATGCTCCATTAGGAAATGTTCTATTCTTTTATAATCTCTTCATCTCTCATAGCATCTTATATTCACAGCAGAGTTTACTGTCCCATTTGACACATATTCTGCTCTCTTTTTGTCATTACATTTCTCCCCATATGGAAAACTGATCAAACGTGCTGGACTTTATACACTTCAATGTATAAAACATGTAAATATGCTCCGAATACACCCAGAACCCACTCCACGGTCCATCTTAAGCCTCTCAAGTCTTCTCCGTTTGTACTGAGTGGATACGGCCAAGAAGAAAGAATATTTCAGAGCACACTCTTTACTGGGTACCTTTTCAGACAAGGCCTTTAAACTGTCCAGAAACCTCTGCCAGAAATCCCTGAAGAGGGGCCAATCAATTCTCTTCAGGCTTTCCTTGGTGCTGGCATCCACGCTGACATACAGCTGCGTCACTGGCTCAAGGTTCCTTGGAAATAAAAACGAGAAGGCAATTGCTGTCTTCAGCCATCACTGCTAGCTGAATTTGTGTTTTCCTACCAAAGCACACATAAAATACAGGACTTCTAAACAAGCTCTGCTGCTCCAGTAGCGACAGGAACTATCCAGTGTTTACAAGGAAAACTATCCAAGTCCAGAGGTTCATCTCCATCAAGTGACTATCATCTTAATAGCAAGACATTATAACTTAACTTTCAACAAATACACCCCAAAGCTAAGAATATCACACACAGAGGCCTTGGCAGACGGTTCAATTATCTTTTCCTTACTCAACTAAAACATACATCACTCCAGCATTAGCTGTGGCACGCGCAGAAAGGCTTCCCAAAGCAGGCTGCCAGGGGTTACTACAAGGCACTGAAAGGCTCTGCTTCTCCCCATGGTTACAAACTATAAAGCTCAGCCCCTTCCCCACATTCTATTTGCTCTGGCTAATGGAGACATAATCCCGTTCGAGAGAAATGCAGCCATCATTCAGCTGCTTTCTACTGCCGGACACACTGAACTCACCTGGCCTGCAGCTGCCATCAGTCAAGTACTTTTTGGAAGGGAAATCAAAGCTGCTTAGAAAATGAAACCAAACACAATTCCCCAGCATGTTCTCCTTCCACTTCCAAGGCTCTTATCTTGTATAAATCCCGCACTCCAGTCTTTCTGGTCACAGAACGCCAGTGAGCACAGCATCTGTGAGCCCAACAGCAGAACCTTCTAAAAAGATCACACTCTCAGAGGAGGTTTAAAGAGCCTGGGTAGAGTCTAACCCCTTCTGTAAACTCCAAGGGTATAAAGGAGAAGCAGCACCACTGCAGACCATTGGCAAACAGATAGCGACGGACATTAAAAGGAACAACCTAAAACAAGCTCCCTTGTCACAGACAAATCTGATCAAGCCAGTGAATGTAACACACGTCCACCCTTCATGGCATCTTCCGTGGAATGATGCATCCTAATTGTACCACGTATCTCTTCAGCTCTCCACGCTTTCAGGACATTTTGCAAGGGTTATTTGGGAAGTCTCTTAATGAACAGGCTGCTGTCCCAGCTTCATTTAGCTCTTTAGACAAGAAGAAATTAGAAACTATTGTTCAGCTGCCAACAGTGACACCTAAAAATACACCACCCTCTGCCCTCCCCGGAGGTGAGAAAGGGACAAGAAATTGTCCAGAATGAGACCAAGCATCCAGGAAAAGCCACTTAACATGGACACTCAAACAACCTCTCTGAACACATTCTGCCTGTATTTAGAAGCATGAAATAGCCCAGAACAAACGCAACATTTTAGGTTTTAATAAATAAAACCAACTGTTTTGCAAAGAAGCTTGTCTGGCCTTGCAGCCCAAAGCCACAACCTCAAAAATGATCAAGTGTTCTAGGAGTGAGCGGATTGAAGTATTCAGTTTCAAAGTACATGGCCAAAACACTCTTTTCTTTCCTTAATGCTGCATTTGCCCAATCAAAAGGGGCTCCAGGGAAGATGGAGCGAGTGTTTTCAAAACATGAGCTGAGAAAAGTCACCTCTTCTCCGAGGATCTCGATCCTCAGGACAGGCAAGAGCCAGACTCACTGTTGTACTGGAGAAAATTAAGGAATTGGAAGAGATCCCAGGGAGGGATTTCTGCCCCACGTTGCTCCAAAATGGAACGGTCCACAGGGTTCTGTTATGGCTCAAACTGGAGTGACGCTGACCTTGTGCATGTTCTGCCATAGGGGAACGAGGAGAAAGGGCACAAACTGATGCTCCTGGAACACAGCTACGTTTCATACTCAGCAGGAAATACTGTTGCATAGTACTAGGATGGATTTTCCAGCGTTCCTCCTACTTTATCGGTTGTCATTTCCAATCTAGCTGAGATCAAATTCACTGCATTACCACATCTGAACTCGGGTAGTGATTTCCGACTGAGTAGCACAGCACAACTCAAGAGCAATAAATTGCTCTCAGGCCTCCAGCCATGAGGGGGATTCCCCAGCCAGTCAGGAGACAGCCTGGGTCAAGGAGATAAAGAACAGAAACAGAGGAAGAGGACTCAAGCCAGTAACTGCTCAATACATGCTCATGTGCTATAAAACCTCCTGTGTGTGCCTGGAGACAGATGAAGCTGCACTCATAGAATCACAGAATCACAGACTGGTTTGGGTTGGAAGGGACCTTAAAGCTCATCCACTTCCAACCCCCTGCCATGGGTAGGGACATTTTCCACTAAAAGACCAGGTTGCTTCAAGCCCCGTCCAAACTGTCTTCTGCAGTTAGAACAAAGATCAGACTGCAAGAGAAGCTCACAAATGAAAAAGGCAATTTACAAGCCGAGTCTCCTGCTCTGGCTCTCAGAAACACTTGCACTAGTTATCATCCATGTCCCCAAGCCCAATACGCAGCTCACTCGCTCTTCTTCCGCTGTACATCCAGGAGGTACTATATTATATCCTCTTCCTTTTCAGAGGTAACCCCACTTTAAGAGATACAGAAAGGAAAAATCAAACTGGTAGAAAAAGGGATGAGAAAGAGCATGGGGAGACAAAGGTTAAAATCAAATAGATGCGATACTGAGTGGGCTTTTTCACTGTCAGCACAGAGCTGATTGATGAGCAATAAGTGGAATTAAAACACAAGTCTGCACTCAAATGTTTTAGTAGGGAGGTATTTTGTCCATCTCTTACCTAATCTCATCTGGGAACTGTGCATTTGTAACCAGGAAGGTAGAGATGCTGTGCTGGTGCAGGAGCCTCACAAACCGGTTGATCTCCGGGTACATGATGGGCTCTCCCACCAGTGACAGTGCGCACTGCTTTGCGGTCATTGCTTCCTCAAAGCGAGCTGCTTGTAATCCTGAGACGCCTGCAAATAGAGGGAAAAACAGGGTTCTGTTATGGCTCGAACTGGAGAAAAACAGGCTTAAATCAACTACCACCCCCACCCAAACCATGCATCTGTATCAAAAATAAACCCTGGCACAAGGAAGACAGAGCAAAACCAGCTGGAGCCCTCCTCAAGGGGAAGGGACAGCAGGGCACAGCCAGTGTCCATCAACCCACAGCACAGAGTATGCCCAGATACACGGAGCTTGGGATTTTGTGTGTCCTGTGAACTACTGCAAGTAATCTTCTAGTAATGTTCGAGTCAAGCTTTCCATTGCTATCACCTCAGTGTAGCTGCCTGGACTCTGAGATGGAAACACGGGAGAAAGTTTAATGCCACTTGACATAAGTGGCTTGAAAAGGAAAAGCAGGGTATGCCTGCTTCTGCTGCTGACCCACATGGTCCCAACAGCCCCAGAGGGAACAGCTCCCCAAGAAGCTGGGCACACTCCCCACACAAAGCACCAACAACCAGGTCCAAATCCATACTGGCAACCACATGAAATGCAACTCCACAGAGGATGTATTCAAGAAGAAAACCCACCACGTGACACCATCCTGAACAGCAAGAGACATTCCAAGAACAAAAAGAGGAAAACACCAGGAGCTCAACTGCAGCATCCATGTGAAAGTGCTGTCTGCAGGCTTAACCAACCTGAGCCACATGTGTTGCGCCCATCAGAGGGCAGGGAAGAGGCAAATGCTCCTCCTGGAGTCCTCAGTACAGGAAAGACATGAACCTGTTGGAGAAGCTCCAGAAGAGAGCCCCCAAAATTATCAGAGGGCTGGAGCAGCTCTGCTCTGGAGACAGGCTGAGAGAGTTGGGCTTGTTCAACCTGGGGAAGGCTCCAGGGAGACCTTATTGCAGCCTTTCAGTTCTTAAAAGGGGCCTATAAGAAAGATGGGGAGAGACTCTTTAGCAGGGCCTGCTGCGATAGGATGAGGGGTGATGAGTTTAAACTAAACAGGGAGATTCAGGCTGGATGCGAGGAAGAAATTTTGTACAATGAGGGTGGTAAAACCCTGGCACGGGTTGCCCAGAGAGGCGCTGGATGCTCCATCCCTGGAGACATTCAAGGCCAGGCGGGATGTGGTTCTGCCAGCCTGATCTAGTTGAAGACGCCCCTGCTCATTGCAGGGGGATTGGACAAGATGAGTTTTGAAGGTCCCTTCAAACCCAAACCATTTTGTGATCCTATACCAGACCACGTGTTCAGATATGAAATCAACTGCCTACAAATAAGCTTTTGTTCTAAATATGTCCCTGCATGTTTCTTTGACATGCCTCAATGTATTCAGATAATATCAGAGGGTTTAGATGGGAGATTGGTCTGTTTTAAAGAAACCAAAGCCTTGAGTTTCAAACCAGGTCCTCAGCTCACCTTGTGTTGCCTAGAAGCTGGAGCTCAGGCAGTACAGAAAACTATAGGCTATGCTCCAAAGCCCAGATAAAAAGAGGTGTTGGTGGATATTGCTTCAGCCTCACATAGAAAAACTGGTCTGTGATAAGAGCAGAACTTGGTGCATGATAAAGCAGCCACACTCAGCCCTGAAGATGTGACAGGACTAATGGTTAATGCTGTACAAACCTGCAGTACTAAATGAGACCTTCATTTGAAAAGAAAGCAGCATCTCAACCACACACTGAGATTAAAGGATAACTTTCCTGTTCCTAAAGCTACTTGAAGGTGGCTTTGAATTTAATTAATTTCTCTCCCTCAGCACCCTGCCACTGGACGATGACAATCACCCTGTGCCAGCTTTAGAAGCAGACAGAAAGTAATTCCAACAACATGTAAAGTTTGAGTCACTTTCTCAGAGCAGCTGACATCAAATGTAGCATAGGGGACATACACTGCGGAGAGGGCAGAGGTTTTGTAGGAATCATTTGACTACACAAATCACAAGATAGACAGGGATAAACTAAAAAAGGATTAGTGTGTATTCCAGGGAGTGTGTGAACTCCCCTGCACTTCGGGCTGCCATACCACTACAGCTGTCAACCTCTGCTCCTGCAGATGAGCGTCCTCCTGTCTTCAGTCAATGCACTTCAGCAAAGTCAGAGCCTGGGCAGATTTTGGAGGGCATGAAGCAGGCCCAAGGCAGTGCAGGAACTTGGAGCCATAGGAACATGAGTACCATCTACAAGAGGCCATGGTGTACAGCTTTCAGCTGCTGCTCAAGCTCAGTTCTCAGCAGAGCATGCAGCCATGCCTCCTTTGATCAGCACAGCTCCTCTGAAGAGCTGATCCCAGCTGCTCTCCTACTGGTGTGCTTTCATTTGGGGGAAAAAAGCAGCATCTGGCACATCTGCCTAGAGAGGCTGGTTGGTGACTTCGGGTACCAGCCATCACAAGTGACTGGGGAGACAAGGAACTGGTTTTACCCACTCTTACACCAACACACACAGGTAGCCTTAGGATTTCCTAGTTCAGGTCATGCATTTTTGTTTGGGTTTTCACTTTTCCCAAGTGGAACCAGAGCTGTATTATCAGACACTGCCCATCTCATAACTTTGAATTACATTTCCATTCTGTGTGTGCCCTTCACAAGGGAACAGAGATTTACCAGCCACTACCTACAAAATGCATCCAACAAATAAACTGCTTCCCACTCTTCCACCTTAGCTCCCTATCAGCAAGATGTCTCCCCAGCCATTAGCCTAAAAGAATGATGTGATGTTAACCACCACCTTCAAAAACAGTGCACGCTTTGACAACAATAAAGATAGTAACAATAAAGATGGCAACAATAAAGATGGCAACTCTAAAAGCATGCACAGAAGTTCTTAACAGGACATAAGGCTACTCTCTAGGATATCCTACAGGACACATGGTCCCCAAGACTTCTATTCCTTCAAAGAAGATCTCAATTTTACTGCACTGCGTGGAATTAATCTTGGAATCCCAGACTGATTTGGTTAAAGCTCATTCAGTTCCAACCCCCTGCCACAGGCAGAGACACCTTCCACCAGAGGAGATTGCTCCAAGCCCCATCCAACCTGGCCTTGACCACTGCCAGGGATGGGGCAGCCACAGCTTCTCTGGGCACCCTGTGCCAGCGCCTCAGCACCCTCACAGGGAAGAATTTGTGCCTAATCACTAATCTCAATCTACAAGAAATAACAAACTCACAAAGAGTTCCTATGGGAAGCAAAGTGCAGGACTTGGTGCTGTGTAACTGCTGCTTCGGTCACAAACAGATCTCCTCTATAATTCCTGAAAATAAAAGTGCTCATCCATTAATGAGAAAAACACAATCCCCAAGTTTCAGAGCGAACACAAAGCTCTCAGTGGATTAAGCTTGGGCAGTGTATTTCCTAACAGGTTACAGGGTGATTCCTTTTGCCTTCTGCCTGCCCACACTTTTCCATAAGAATCCACATTCCTCACCACCCAGGCCAGCCTCAAGCACTGTGGAAGCCTCTGTGCACTCCAAATAAAATGATATGACAATTACCAAGACCCACAAGAAGCAACTCCACACTAATCCCTTAAGGCAGCAGTAGACATCCAATGGCTGACTCATGTTCTAATGTCAAAACCAAGGCAGAACATCTCAGAAAACAAGGTGTGCCACAACAGTTTCTTCTCACCTCTTTCTCCTATGACGAATCTCATGCCTCCTTCCCAGCAATTCATAGAATTATAGAATTATTTAGGTTACAAAAGCTCATCAATCCCGACCATCAATTCCACACCGCCAAGTCCACCACTAAACCACACCCCTGAGTGTCACCTTTTTAAATGCCTCCAGGGATTTGCTTTGAAGATGCTGATGCTGCTTATCTTCCAAAAGCATCACTCACAGGGAAGAAATGGGAAAAGTTACCTTTGAACTGCTTGATCATATTCTGATGGTTCTCAATAGCCTCCTGCAAGATCATTTCAGGTTGGTCCATCTTCCATTGCCACTCTGTGCCCACTGGATTTGTATGATGTCTGAAGGAAAAGACAGACAGAGTTATACACTGCTATTTGTAACACACATGGGAAGGACCCATCTGACACCTTAGGGACTTAGACACAGTTTAATAATATTAAAGGCAACAAGAAATTCTCAGTAATACCCTGCTTCTGACACAGCTTTCATATGTCGTCTCTGAACACCTAGGCTCTGGTTCCCCCAGAAGGAAGAATGGACCTCACAGTTTATATGAAACTTGATATACCTATCTTGAATCACAGGTAAAAGGTCTTTAAGCCAAAACGATGCTCTACAGCAAGAAAGACCTCTGCAAAGAAAGAAGAGGTTCTACCTCCATTTGAGAACACAGCTATACATATCACTAGAAAAGAAAGGTCCTAAGGCATTGAGCTGAGATGTTAAGCAGTTCTTCCCTGTGAGGGTGGTGAGGCACTGGCACAGGCTGCCCAGAGAAGCTGTGGCTGCCCCATCCCTGGCAGTCTTCAAGGCCAGGCTGGAAGGGCTTGGAGCAATCTCCTCTAGCGGAAGGTGTCTCTGCCTGTGGCAGGGCGTTGGAACTGGACGAGCTTTAAGGTTCCTTCCAAGACAAACCATCTATGGGTTTACAATTTATGCCAAGCCTAAGGTGTACATCAAGCGAGCCTTGGGATGTGTCTCAAACTGAGCCTTAAGTCTTCCAACTCAACAGAGGTCCGAGAAGAGCAAACAGCTGCAGTCCATGTGGAAGAAAAACAATTGCAACCCGTTTCACACGAGGTAAATAAATGAGAATATTTTTCAGCCCAGTCCCCTGCAAAGCTGTTTCACTCATACAGGTTGTTGCCATTAGTTAAAGAAGCATTCCAGCTTTCATTATCATTAGGGCTACTGTTTCCACATTTCCTCTTAAAAGTGACCAATGACAGTTAGGGGATGATGAGGCAGAGGCACCTGGAAGGTATCATGCATGGAGATTTATCCCAGCTACTCCACTGTTCAATTGACACTTGTCTGACTTCCTTGGTTCAGCCCCGTACTCCAGACACAGGCTGCTGCTGCTGCCAAGTAATACCGAGTGGGTCATTTTGAGGGGAACAGTGTTAAATGGCCTGCAGTGCAACATCAGGAGCAAAATTCCTTGCTCTGACAACGCTATTGCTTTCTATTTGCTGTTTATGATGTACCTGCTGTGGAGGGACAGAGGGACAAAATGCATGGCAATCCTCTCCCTACCAGTCCAGTCACCACTGCAGAATTAAATGCACCACTGCTAGCTGATACATGAAAAAAAAGGAAGACAAAAGACACAAGCAGTACGTTTTCCTTCCCAGCCATTAAATTGCTCTGAAGAAAAGCAGCAAAAGTTGCACATTAAACTTGCTATTTGCTGTGTTTGTTCAAACCAGGATACGATGAAAGCCCATCAAAAGCCCCAATTAACATTTCAGAATACAAACTTCAGAGGATGACCAGTGTCTAATGCTTACACCTAACACTAACATGGGACACAGCTTCTCCAAAATTGTCTCCAAAATTCTAGCAGTCCTTCTGCACTAATGCTGCCATTTCAATACCCTCATGAAGTATTTCCATTGTTAAAACTTGAGGACTATGAAACAGAAAAAGTGGGGTTCAGGAGGAATTTGCCTGGGATTGCATGCACACTCATTCTTTGGGATGGAATGGGTATTTCTGGCAACCAGGTCCCTGGGGAAGGCGTGAATACCAGAGGAAGCACAAGCCCCATCGTATGAGTTAGCTGGCAAGACAAAAGAGCTCAGAGAATAACCTCCACGTCCTCCCACTCAGCGCACTTTCACGTCACTGAGTTTGGTTTTGCTGAGTGTCTCTCACCAACCCCATCCTGCGCTCTCCCAGCCTGGCAAAACCCTCCCTTGGCAGCCCAGTGAGTGAGCACCGCTGGAGCTGCTCGCCGCTCCCATCCAGGCAGAGCTCATTGCCTTTAGAGAACTAACACAGTCATTCCCCTAAGAAGAGGGGTCACTTTACTGACTAGAATGGAAAGTCATCTAGGAGAGACTGCTTTAGGAAGGCAACAGTTACCAAGTCATCACTTTTCACTCGCTGAGACTGCAGCTGAATTGGTGGGGATGAAGGTACCTGAAGTAAGAAAAACGGTCCAATTTCAAACCAAAGATACTCATGTTGCTTTGCACCTTGGTGGCTTTGCACAAGATGGGCCAGCCCATGCTCTCTAGAGCACCAGGAGCCACATGGAATCTCAGACAATGATCTCCAGAGGGAACCAAACCTCTACCAAGTGGGAATTGCAGAGCAGTACACGGAGAGGTGTGTGTCTCCTGCATCCCCAATTCCTCCTTCACTGGTTCTCAGCCAGTCTGACAGAGGACACAGCTCTAGGGAAGGTAGCACCTCCTCAGCCTCCCAGATGTGGAGCCCAGCCACCCAGCTCGCATCTGACCATCCCACACCCATCCTCCTCGGCCTCGGAGCATCGACTAACAGCAGAGAAAGACACAAACAAATTCCAAGAACATTAAGCTGAGTGCAGAGCTTTAAATCTGCTCCCCAAGCACATCTGCAGTTTTCAGTCACTAAAAACCTGGGTGTCCAAAGTCACCTGGGACACACAGTGCAAGCAAGAGCACGTCGCAGAGCAGCTCAGAATGATGACAGATGCACCCTGGGGGAAGAAGTCCATAGCACACAGATCATGGAATCACGGACTGCTTTGGGTTGAAAAGGACCTTAAAGCTCATCCAGTTCCAAGCCCCTGCCAAAATGTGACAATGGTACCTTTCAATCTACCTTCCTCCACCTGAGGAGTCCTGGTGATCCAAAGGGAAGTCTTCACTGAGCAGTGGGGAAAGAACACGCAGGTGACCCCTGACAGATGCACAGCCTTGCTGTGCAGATGGAAAATTAAACAAAATGGGAAATGCTGCTTATTCCACCCATTCCTCAAACAACAGAGACTTCAGGAGATTCACAGATTCGAGGAGACCAAGGTCAGGTTGGACAGGGCTTGGAGGAACCTGCTCTAGTGGAAGGTGTCCCTGCCCATAGCGGGGAGTTGCAGCTGGATGAGCCTTAAGGTCCCTTCCAACCCAAACCACTCTACGATTCTATGAGATTCTGGATTTCGTCAAACAGGCAAATCAACACTCACCCTAAAATTTGCAGCTTTTAGGCTGTTTCCCAGCATATGACAGAACACAATCTTTTTAATCTGAGCTACCACTATGAAACTCAAAACTAATGCTTCCAGCCCCGCTCCTGCTTTCACCCCATACAAACCCCAAACAAACCTCCTGAAGATACTCACATATTGGTGTGAATCTGAGTCAAAGCCACTGCCTGTAACCAATGTCAGTGTCTAGAGCACTTGACATTCAATTCCTGCTTTAGCTCCTCACGCCCTGGGGATGCAGCCCAGCACACAGGAGGGTTCTGGGCTCAAGCACACACTGAAGCCAGGTCATTGGGAGCTTCTCGTCACCCAAATCCCCAAGTCCTTTTCCTCAGGGCTGCTCCATCCCATCCCCACTAGACTGTGGTCACAGTCCCACAACAACAGGTTCAAATGCCCTCGTGTGCCCATTCCAGGGGAATGACAGACTGCAGCATCTTTGTTTCAGGGACCTCACAGTGGTGATGAAACCTTCCCACTTCTGTGTGGTGTTCTGCTCCTGCTGTGTACCTCAGGAGGCAGGAGTTACTTTAGCAGACAGCAGAATAACAGGAAAAAAACAACAGAAAATTATATCCCCAGCTCTTGGCCACAGCCACATGCTCACTCTTCGCAGCAGGATTTTAATAGCTTGAAATGTAAAACTACAGCTTGGAAGATGAAATTTGGTTTCATTAATGTAATACTGCTTTTTTTAAACAATATTTCATTTGGAAATTGTACTACCTGAGTAAGTGTCTACTTTTTTAATTTCAATTTAGAAAGTGAAAGAAGGAAAGAGAGCATTTACCTTTGTCCATCGGCAGAGCTTCACCCCAGAATGGCTCCCAATCAGCTTGTAACCTGGAAACCAACAAAACAATAATCAAACTATTGATTGGAACCTGCAATAACTCAAACACAAAACATGCCAATTGGTACACCAAATTATTCAGCATCGCAGTCTCAGCACCGCTCTTTCCCATTGGCCCAAGGTGATGCTACCCAGTGCCCACTCACAGTATTTTCCATTTCCTTCTGGGAGCACAGGGGAGCAAAGGCCATGGCTGCCCAAAGGGCTTCAGACAACTTGGAACACTTTCTCCTCACCGCATATTTAGTTATATTGCTCTGTCTTGCTTGAATCAACAGAGGGTGGCCAGAAGACTTCTCCATGTGACAGGAAGGCAGACTAACAGGTCTAGCCTCTTAGCGGAACGTGGAACACCTCGCTGACCCCAGGGGGTTAGGATATGGGAAGGACCAGGACAGAGAACCAGAAGCGTCTCCCCCCATCCCTAAGCCACCATCCCAGAACAGACTGTTCCCCAGAACCACAGAGACCTAATTCCCACTGCTTCTTGGTAGGTCTGACCAGCCTGGAGGACATCTGATTCAGCAGGGAGGGCAGAGGCAATGAACCACAATGCAGGGCTCAGCTTGAACCCAGACTTCACAGGTTCACCAGTTCCACCTCCACTGCCCTTGAAGGAGCTGCAGAGAGGGAGCCGTTGCGTTATGCCCAGAGGAAAGCTGATTTCGCATCACTTCCCTGCTCCTCAACCAAGATCAATACAATTTCATTTCAACTTATTAGCCCAGGAAGATTAATTCCACAGCATTTGTTAAGCACTAAGCACTATTACTACCCAAACTGCTTGAGTTGGGTTCTTTTTCTCTTTGAAAAACGTGCCTAGGGACCAATATGTCTGAAGGATTAAAAGTCACTTCAAAAACCAGCATAAAAATAAGAGGGGTTTGAGCAGCCTGACTGTGTCATCTGAAGGATTAAAAGTCACTTCAAAAACCAGCATAAAAATAAGAGGGATCTGAGCAGCCTGACTGTGTCATTCCCACTGCAGCACTTACACGTCGATGGCCTGGCTGTCCCCAAACCAGCACATCTCAACTGACAGCTTTAGGCTGACATTTATATTAACGCTTTCAAGAGAAAAATCGACTTCTAGGTATCAAGTCTCCTTCCTGCCAAGCAGCATGAAATTAACAGGGGAAAAAAGCCTTCTGCTCACCAGAACTGCCCATCATCTCCTACAGCAAGTAGCACAGTGAGCCTGCTCATATGTCACCATGTGTCTCTTGCATGGTGAGGTCCCAGGGGAGCGTGACTGCTCCCCAAAGTCCCCCACAGCTCCGAGGACACTAAGCCATGAACTACAGTGAGAGCTGCACCAGCTCAAAATTAAACTGTGTGAAGATGAAGATGTCTGCATGGCTGAGGACACTCCTGTCTCCTCACACTGGTTCTATCCTTGCAGGGGTTAGGACAGAGGCAATTTTAGCCTGACCAGTCCCCCGAAGCAACTCTCCAGGAGACTGTATGGACAGCACAGGGGGAGTGGCTGCAGGAGCAAGCAGTGGGGCTCCCCTGCCCCATTAAGCAGGGCTTTGGGGACATCAGTGTCAGGCTGCTCCTATGTCCTGAGATCCTTCTCCCCATCCAGCTCCGTGGGAATAGACAATATTCCAGCCTTTTCCTCCCTAAATGAATAAAGCCCTATACAGCATGGAAGAAAGAACTACTGCAAGCCAAAACCAGCCTTGGTATTCCATATGGCCCATCATTCAGTCCTCTCCTGGAGAAAGACATCAGCACTTCTAATAGGGAATTTATAGTCTCAAAAGCCAAATGTGAAAAGGATGCTGCATTCCTGCTCCCTCTACTACAGCTGCCCAAGGCAGGCTCCTTGCTGATGGCAACCAGCACAGCCCCAGCCTTATTTGTTCACTTTTCAGAATCAGCAACAGCATTCATGTAAGATCATTCTCTCACAGATCTCTTGTCAGTAGAAGTAAGACGACTGCTTTAAAATGGGGTTTAGGTTAAAATTAAATTGGAAACAGGACATGCTCACCCAGATCTGCTACCCAGTTGTATGACGGAAGAGATGAAGCAGCTAAACTGAGCAAGGTGTCAAGCTCTTTAGTTACTTAAATCAACTTCCACCATGTGGAGAGCCCACAGCTTCCTCTGAAGGCCAAGAAAATTGGACCTATTCAATATCAAAACAGAGTCTTACAAACTTCAGCCAGCTTTAGTGACGAGAAGGGGTTTACTCATTTTGCTTGCTGCTGCCAGGAGTCTCAGCTATGGTTACAAGAAGAAACAGCACATACTTGCAGAACTTCAAAACCACTGTGCAAAGCCGTTGAACTTGGGCCTTCACCATGGAGGTAACTGACAGAAAGGGTGGTGACCCTGCTAAGCCACCACAGTCAGCACTGGCCACCCCATGCGTCTTCAGACTTGGAAGTTAGATAAATTAAATCAATCAGAACAGTTGTTACACATCTGCTCTAAGGGAGCAGAGTCTCTCCAGCTCTGCAGAGCCTCTTTCTTCAAGCAGTTGCTTTACGGCTGGCTTGCAACACAGGCAGCCAGGGCAGTCTGGGCTCAAAGAAAGTAAAAGGTTGAAGCGAGACCAAGCAGTGCTAAGTTCCAAACCAAACATGTGAGGACGCGTGTCCAAGAATCAGTCTGAGGGCCTTCTCAGTTCTGTTCAGCTTCTGCTGAACAACCCTTGCGAAAGCTCAGGCCAGCTCATCTCTTCCACCACCTTTGCCACAACTTCACCGGGGCTCTGCCAAGGGAAATGATGGGGAAAAAAAAAAAATCAAACCTTAACAATGGTCCAGAACTCTGAACCTGCCAGGACTCCCCATGAACACGTTCACTTCTCTGCTCTTAAGGCATTACTCATAAGCAATCACTCTGAGTATTTGGATACAACACCCTCCAAACAATACAGACTGTTGTCTCCATGGGACTCTGCTCACCGTCCTGATGCACCTTCAGATATTAAGGCTGAACAAACACAATCCACTTATTGTTTCTAAAGCCCAATATTCAAAGGAATACTTAAATTATAAGCAGGCTGACAGTAATCAGCTCAAGCCCTGACTAAAGTCTTATCTAAGTCTGCATATTAGTTGATCCTGCTCTAGATGATAAACTCTGAATGACTTAGAAGTCTGCCAAGCTTCACCAAAGTTGTCATTTTATTTACTACAAGAAGACATGAATTAAGATTTTGGGTGAAGGGAGTGTTATCATGCAGTAACACTAAGCTGATAAACATTTGGTGATTGCTGGCCCTGACAATCCAACTGGACTTTAATAAGCCATGGGCAGATTTTGAACTGAAGAGACTGCCAGCACCACAGATGCTGACTGCTCCCTGGTATGGGGCAAAACATTTCTGTGACCATTGAAACTGCATCGCAGCATTTCAACTCTGTATTGGAAATAACAGTCCCTAAATACCAGTCCTTTAAAAGTCCTTTCACTGAAATTCAAAGAATTCATTGAGGGACCCTGCAGTACTCTCAGCCACAGAGGTAGGATACTGCCAGCTACATACCCGTGTCGTGTTCCAGGCTATCCAAGGTATTCTGGTTTTGATCGCTTACCAGTACCATACCCATAGCATGTCCTTCTAAGCTCCTGAATACGTATGAATTTTGTGCATATGCGAGCTATTATGCTATTTTAGTTTTTCAAGCGGAACAGATAAGTCAAATTTCTACAAGTACAACTTGGGAACTGCTTTTGAGGACTGCTGACTATTTGATTGTGGCAAAATGTCCAGAAAGAAACCCAGAGACACTTTCCAGTTCAGATCTCTACACCACCAAAAGCTGCTTTACAGGCAAGCCTTTGAAAGCACAGAGCAAAAGATTTAATTATAAAAGAAGGAAGTAGAGGAGTGGTTAAAAAAAAATCCTCAAAGAGTACAAGAAAAGAGACTTACCCATCCTCCTCTAAGAGTGCAGTCACCATTAGCCTGGTGAAAGCCAGTCTGGTGTCACATTGTCTTCACAAACTCAAATGACTTTCAGAAGGCTTTTCCTCCAAGTAACACAGAGCTGGCAAATCAGTGTGGTTCTATCAAGCCATCGCCTTAAATAAAAGCTGCCTTGTTTGAAGCACTGATTATTTGTGGAAGCTGAAACTCGGTGCAGAAAGGGGAACTTCACACTAGGAAACTCTTTACAGGCAAAAAAGATCCCAGTTTTCTGCAAGAATGCAGTTTAAAAGGGCCTGAGCTGAAGTCACTGACACACAGCAGTAACCCATCACCACTGATTTAAGGTGCATTTTGCAAGTGGTAGCACAACTCCTACACTAGAACCACCACCCAAAAGGCAGTGTTCTGCTAAAGCTAGAAAATCAGTAAGGAAAAGAAAACAAGAAATACTGTTGTTGAAAGGAACCCCTTCAAACTATATCACTATTTTATACAAATATAGAAAGAAGTGGAATCTGGGCACTGGAATTTTTCAGATTGCCCAAGCATGATGGAGAAACACCCAGCTTCATTCCTAGCTCTGCTCAGACTTCAAGAAAATGCTTTTAAAAAGCACAAAAGCCTTGTGATTTGCGGAAGGACTTGCTTCCGTTAACTCAAAGCGGGACAGAAGACATGAGACAAGACTGCAGTCAAAAACATTACAGCATTTCATTCTTCAAGTGGCCACTTCTGCAGACCATAAGAAAAGCACAGTTTCATTCACTGCCCAAAACCAAACCAACGCAGACGGGATCAGAAAGTGAACCAGTGTGAAACACCCCTGTGACTGCCACGGCGCAAAGAGCCAGCACAGGCCCTGCACCACAGAACAGCCAGGGCAGTCTCCCCAGCCCACCTCAGGTCCCTGTGTGTCAAAGCAACACCTGAGCTGCCTGGGGGACTTGGTGCCGCTCCAGCTTCTGAAGCGGGGGACTTGCTGCAAGACAAGAGAACTTCCCTCCCCACTGCCCAGTTCTAGACAGCCCTGTCTCCAGCAGCCCACTCCAATGACCATGGGCAAACACATCACCAGTCACTTACAAAAGCTCAGGCTCCAATCTTGGGGAGCAAAGGTGCTGGGATCCCACAGCTGCCGGACTCACACAGGACATGGAAAATCAGAGCCCAGCTCTGAAGCAAGGTGCCTCCACTGCAATAACAGAACTGTGCTCTCAGCAGCATCAGGGGACATTCTACTGATTTAGCAAGCAAGAAAAACTGAACGCATTCTCATCCTAAGAAAGAAAAGACATTAAACTAAACTGCCTTCAGTCTCCAGCTGAACAGAAGCTGCCATCACCCTTCTGCTGGATCTGCCACTCAGAACTGAGGCTTCTGAACTGCAGGGCCCTCAGTCCAGCTCTTCTCAAGCTTGTCCTCCTTTGTTTTGAAAAGGCCATTAAGTTCTCTACAGCTTGTTCAAAGGCCACTCATCTGATCAGCACTGGATTGGTAAAGCTCATTTGAACTACCTTCTTCTCTGGAAACAAAGTTTCAGTAACAAAATCAGAGTTTGAAACAGAAGTAAAAGCAGGGGCACAGCCGATCTTTAAGTATTTTTTGAGGAACACACGCTTTTGGAGCTGAAGGCATGGGGACCATCATCTTCTCCCCCAAGCTGCTTAGCAGCTACATTAAACCCTTTGAACTCTGAAACACTCACCACACTCAGAGTGCATCACACTCAGATGTATTACCCAGCTTCAGGCTCCTTCCCTGCAAGGATAAGGTACCAACAGCCCCTGCCTAAGCCCTGTCCTGCCCCTGCTCAGAGCCTGCCATGACTGAGGGTCCACAGCAGTACCTCTAACAAAGAACACCGCCTGTCACTTGGCTTGCTAAAAGTCCACCACTAAGACTTCAAAGCCTGGGCCACCATCTGCTCTTTGCAGAACCTCACCTTGTTTTGTGAGCGCTTCTCTCAGAGCTGGGCTTATCATCTCTCGCTTCCCACCCTCCTCCTTCCTCCCAGCGTTCTCTTGAGTCAAGCTCATTCCAACACCTCCTTCCTCGAGCTCACGTTCTCTCTGTTTCAAGACAAGGAATTACAACCATTTAGATCCAAGCATCACAGTTTAAATGCTGGGGCACAGTTCAGCCACAGACCTGCTGAGCTTAAAACTGACACGAGTGTCCACGCATTAATTCTTGCATTCCTGTCATTCTGCTTTTTACCCCTCTTCCCATTGGACTCTCACCTTTCAGTTTTAGATTTAAGACAGAAAATATACTAATAAATAAATAAATAAATAAATCACCACACCAGAAACCAGGTGGACTTGTTCTACTAACACAGCAACCAGCTTCAAGCAAGCTGGGCTAGTGGAAGGTAGGTGGGGTGGAACTAGATGAGCTTTAAAGTCCCTTTCGACCCAAACCAGTGTGCGATTCTGTGATTTAATAACAATCTCTAGGGCATTTTAAGAAACAAGCTGTTCGAATCTCATGTGGGATTGGATCCCCTGAGTGGGACCCCCAGGGTTGAAGCCCAGGTGTTTCATGGCTGCACAATAACCTCATCTCTCCACAGAGCACAAACCAGAGGGAGCAAAACATTGCCTGGAGTGACAAGGGTCTAGGGGTGCAGCCCAGGACACAGGGGGGATCTGGGCTCAAGAGCACACTGAAGCTGGATCATGGGGAGCTTCTTGTCACCCAAAAGCCCCAAGTGCTTCTCTTCACGGCTGCTCCATCCATTCTGCCCAGCCTGTGGTTGTGCTTGGGATTGAGCTGTCCCAGATGCAGGACCTTGCCCTTGCCCAACCTCATGAGGTTTTCACTGGGCCCACACATAAGGAAGGAAGCAAGGAGATAAAATCTTCATCTTTTTACTATTAAGTATCAAACAAAGAGCTTCTCCTCCCACAGGCTACCATTCAACCCAGAACTAGGCCCAGCCATTCAACAGGAAAAGACAGGCACCATCTGAGCACAGATTTGTGAGCTGCTCTGAGCAAAACGCTATGCAGGATTTAGAAGTGGACACATCCTGGCCTGTCTGATCTACAATCTCATGCCAGGTTAGTTCTCCCCGAAGAACCAAAGCTGCGTTACGGAGCACACAGAATCATATCATACAATGGTTTCTGTTGGAAGGGACCTTAAAGAGCGTTACATCTGGTTCCAACCCCCTGCCATCATAGTATTAAAAAGGCAGGGATTGACTTAAGTACAAAAGAAACATCCTGCCCAAGACAGCCTTCCAATACAGGAAAGGTCTGTCTGAATATCAATGCTTTGCCTCTAGTGCCTCTTACAGCAGTGTCTGAGGAAAGCATCTGAACGGAAGAACAACAAGGAAAACTGCCTTTCTGGCAGGGCAGAAACACTTTTCAATACTCATTTTTCCTCACAGGGATGACAATTCCCCTCCCCAGGCCCGATGGAAAGCCTGTAAGGAAAATAACCAGTTGTTTTTCTCTGAGCTGCACCACCTCACTTGTTCAGTTTGGCAAGTGACTGGCTTCAGGTATTTCTTGTGGGAAATAGAAGTCACACCCTGGGAGATTTACTTACTTGATCAATAAACCTTTCATAGCTATTATTTAGGGTTTGAGTGGTGAGAGCAGAGTTAATTTTCCACAGAGCAAACTTCTCAAGTCCTGGGGATTTAGCAGAAAGTCCTGCAGCAAATCCAAGACAAATGACAGTCTTTCCACAACAAATCAAGCAAGCAGTGATAAAAGCCAGCTTCTCAGGCCCTGGAAATCCCACAAAACCAAGAAACTCATCATCCTCTGGTCTGCACTGACAAAAGATGAGAAAACCTGGGGATACACTCCAATGGTACCTCCAGACTCAGCACAGCTCCTGCTACAGGCTGCAGGAAGGGGCTTTGCTACTGCCATAGAAGCAGACCTGAGTAAAAGCAACTGAGCCTCAAGTCTAAGGACTTATGATCACCTCCTCTACACGTGAAGGCAAAAATCCCACCTCTTCCCTTTCACTGCCATACAGGCAGAGCAACAGGCAGCAGCAGCACATAGTGAAAGCAGAAGCCCATTTTGGATGGGTCAAGAGCAGAGGATGTCTGACACAGGGCACAGACACAGGCAAGGACCTCAGCATTCTGTGAGAGCTGTATGAAGCTCAGCAAGGCCAAGGGCAAGGATGTGCACGCGGGCTGGGGCAATTCCAGGCACAAACACAGACTGGGGGAGAATGGATTGAAAGTAGCCCTGAGAAGAAGCACATGGGGCTCTTGGTCTACAAGAAGCTCCAGTGGGCGCTTGAGCCCAGAACCCCCCCGTGTGCTGGGCTGCACCCCCAGAGTGTGAGCAACAAGTCAAGAGAGGGGATTCTCCCCCTCTGCTGTGCTCTGGGGAGACACCCCACACCCCCCCACACCCCCCATACCCCCCGTAGTCCTGATCCAGCTCTGGGGCAACAGCACAAGAGGGACTTGGAGATGCTGGAGAGAGGCCGGAGGAGACTATGGAAATGCTGCGAGGCCTGGAGCAGCTCTGCTCTGGAGCCAGGCTGGTTCAGTCTGGAGAAAAGAAGGCTCCTGAAGGGGAGACCTTAGAGCAGCTCCAATGCCTAAAGAGGCTACAGGAAACCTGGAGAGGGGCTTGGGACAAGGGCCTGTAGGGACAGGACAAGGGGAATGGCTTTAACCTGCCAGAAGGGAGACCGAGATGAGCTCTTAGGCAGAAGCTCTTCCTTGTGAGGGTGCTGAGGCGCTGGCACAGGGTGCCCAGAGAAGCCATGGCTGCCCCATCCCTGGCAGTGTTCACAGCCAGGTTGGACACAGGGGCTTGGAGCAAGCTGCTCTCGTGGAAGGTGCCCCTGCCTGTGGCAGAGGTTGGAACTGGACAAGCTTTAAGGTCCCTTCCAACCCAAACCACTCTGTGATTCTATGCCAAGGCAGAGGTGTTGCTGCCCCTCTGACAAATCTCAGTTCAAGCGTTTCAAAAGATTTCCCACAAATATACCTATGAAACTTATCCTCTGCCACATCCAAATCTGACCCACAGCACATACAACTGCCACTTCTCCCCTCTGATGTGCTCGCTCCAGGATGCCAAGGTGCCCACTATATCCATGTGTTTTCCATTTTATTACATAAAATACTCTTCAAACTAATATTGCAGAGGTGAGGAAAAAACAAAAAAAAAGGAGACCTAAACCCCATACAAAGTAGGATTCTTTAAGCTAACTGAATGGATCATTTTTAGCCGCATGGCTCGATACATTTATGTGCCTTGGCTAAAAAAATCACCTTCCCAAGAAGTTTCTATTCCCAGAAGGAAAATGACACCTAGAATATCCCAGTTCTGCCTGAACATCTTTCCTAGTTAACCTCCCAGACACCAGACAGGAGGAAACCCTCGCCTTCTCATGGCCCCATCCATCAAAAGTTCCAGGGCTTTCTAATCAATGAAAGGCACACACTTTAAGAAGACAATAATAACAAACAGAAAGCCTGCCTGGCAGCGAGGAACACTGCTACGACATTCCCAGTGGAGCTGTTAAATGCACTATTAAAGTTCAAGGATTACACGAACGGAGAGCTGAAGTTCACACCCGCAGAGCTCTGGAAGCAATACTGCAGTGGCAAGAGGACAGCTAAAAAAGCTGACAACTTGGCCCTTAGCTCAGGCTCATCTCTCAGTGGCATCACTGGCAAGAACCACCTGGGGGGTCAGAAAAGTGGATTAGACCTCAGGCTGCCCACAGGAACAGCACTTGGCTCCTTGCAAAACAGCCTTCTACAGGACTAACACATGTTCTTGAAACAAACGTTAACTAAACTAATGATTGAGACCCAAATGTCCTGGGTAAAGTGTTTGCCTTTAGCATTTTTACAAGTTCGAACACAACCCAGATGGGCTTTAGGGATATCTCCGTATGAAATGACGTTTGGATTACCTTTTCTGACAACTCAAAAGGAGACTGCTACTTATGAGGGAGGAGAGGCGAGTATCAGAAGACACAGCACCACGATAGCTCAGACTCTGGAACACTTGAGATTCAAAGGACGGATTCCCTAGTCGACGCCTCTAGACTTTAAAATTCATCACATTAATCCCGGGGAGTTGTAGCACTGGGAGGGCCGTTAACAGCCGGAGCCGTTGAAGCTCTTCCCCCAGGTGTGTGTGCTCGCACACGTACGTGCCTGCGCGTGAGAACACGCGTGCAGCACCCGAGTGTGCGCGTGGGGGAGCGTGCCTGGTCGGGTCCCTTCCGGCGGCTCCCAAAAGAGCTCACTCTGGAGCCAGGAGAACTTCAGTTGCTTTTTTTAAAGCAACCGGGAGAGCTCAGCACTGTTTTCCATCCAGCCATCTCCAAGCCCGAGCACCCCTGATCCCACCAGTGAAGCACTGCGATTGGGGAGGAGAATATCCCAGCGCGAGGCTGGAGAGGTCTGCTCCTTCCGACGTTATTTGCCAGCCCCGGGCACCAGGGGAAGGAGAATGCACCTTCAGTTAAAGATGATGCAGGGAGGGGAGAGAGAAAAGGAGAGGATAAAGAGAACACGTGATGCCCCGGATTCAATCAGCCAGAAGCAAGGAGGTAGGTGCTGGTGCCCTCTCATTTTTAGATTCAGAGATTTGAGGGCCAGAGGGGACCGTGATGATCATCTGGCCTGACAGTCTGTATTATGTAAAAGCCACTTGAAGCCAGACAGTGCCACCAGCTTTTTAGAAGCAACAGCAAGCACTGGGGAGCTTATAAAGACTGTGATTCTCCCAAGGTAGAGGGATGTGGGAATGCCAGCACATCCCAGGTACAGAGGAGGCCAGATACATCCACCCCAGTGGGTACCATCTGAACAGGCAATAGCACCAGGGGAAAGAAAACATCGTTTCCCTTCTGTGCCAGGCAATTCCTTTGCCTAGCAAAGAGGGATAAGCAAGCACGGAGGAAAAAAAAAGCCACCCCTTCCTTGTGTTTTCCTTTTGAACCTTGCCTGGAAAAGGGATCCCAGCCCCGGGGTGTCTCTTGGCTGCTTTTGGTGTTTGCACCCTCTGGATCCTGAGCATTCCCAGAAAGCCCGAGGAGCACCCGTCCCTCTTGCCAGGCCTGATCCACAGGCC